CCACCTTTTTTAAGGTACGCGAAATTACTACTGCGGAAAATTATCGCATTTAGAGTGCGCGACGGCCAAGCGAATTTTAGTACAATTAATGTTAGTAGAGTATCCGGATATGTCGCCTGATAATGTGTACATATGTGTATATTTATTTTCGTCTGAGAAACGAACGACAGATGATCCGTCTCTATATTTACAAAGTGGCGAAGTTGAAGTATTTCACTCAATTTTACATTTTCTGCACGTAGGCAACCAGCCACCCTCTGTCACCTCTTCAGGGGTTCTCTTCAGTTTAAGCCGGCAGCCCTAGCACAAAGTTACCTGCACTGTCTCTAAATTGCCGCACTTATACAGGACAACTATCCGACCAATTGCCTATTCTTTGCTGCATTAAATTAGTATAAATTGGCCAATAATTTAAATTCGAGAGCGAAGCAAAACTTTCAGATGACATTAAAACGTTTCCTGTTCATCACCCCAGAATGCTGCTGACATTGTGGGCTGTTGATTCGTCAAGATGACTTTATAATTTGTCGCAAAGATCATTGTTTTTCTTTTCTTCGCTCGTTTGATATCTTCACCATTCTTTCAAAATTGTCGATATCTTTCATAGCCTGTAGTCCTTCATCTTCCATATCATTTTTATCATCATCAGCATCAAAACTTGATCTAAATAGAAAATAAAAAATATATATACTGCGTACCGTATTTTGATTGAGATGCATATAGTTAAACAGAAAATCTAAACAAAGACCGATCAGGACCTGCAACCCGTCAAGACGTTGCAGTTTTTTACTTATTTCGCAGTTTTTGACTTGTTTTGCAGTTTTAAATTACTATTTTGCAGGCGCAAAACAAAGAATTGTGGTTCCAGTTACAACGAAAAAACACCAAACAAAACAACGCTTACATAACGTAATAACGCAGTAAACGCACCCTTTCAGTACCACATGATCATGATGCACATACAAACAGCTTAACAGGTAATAACATGACAAACAGCAACAGAGAAATTGCAAAACAAAGAAATTTGTTGACTTGCCGCGTCGTAGATCTTAGACTCCCTATATTATTGCCGTTCTGTTGCCGGCCACTGCTTTAATTAAGGCCCATACAAACCGGACGCGATTCGGCAACGCGACGCGAATTTTCAATTTTCAATGACCTTTAACTTTACTATTTTTCTATGTTTTTCAAATATTCGGAACCATTTAAGCAATTTTAGCTATTTGGTCTGCATATCTTGTAAAATTTTTATCCGTTGACGGTTTTATTTGTTTTTAAAAACTGAAAATTCGCGTCTCGTTGTCGAATCGCGTTCGGTCTATGTGGACCTTAATGAGAGTGAATGTATTTTAATGATTATACAATATATTCAAATGTTTTGAATTCTATTGTTTTCAAAATATGGAGGTCTCGTGTATTAGCATACAGCATGATAAAGGCAGCTATTCCACAACGCGACGCGATTTTTCGATTTTCACTGACCGATATAAGTTTGATGTTGGTTTAAGTTTTTGAAATATCATGAGAAGCGCTTTAACATTTTGAGTTATTTGGTCTACATATCTTAGTTTTAAAGTTTCCTTTCATTAGCTGTTTTATTAACTTTCCAAAACGGAAAAATCGCGCCGCGTTGTCGAATCGCGTCCGATGTGTTTAGGCCTTGGCTTAAGGTGGCTCCCTACAGTTATTCTTGTTTACCAAATAATTCCGTAAAACAGGCTTATTTGTGCAGAACGCGAATTTGTTTCGACTTGGTGACGATATTGGTCACCTAAGGAATATTTCGAACTAGACTTCGACAACGTCAGTGTTACCATGGCAACATGACGACAGCACAAAACCTTCCAATTTAACCCATAAACGTGCCGCTATCTCAAAAACGATGTCGGTGACCTATCTTTTTTATTTCATATATCAATAGGGAATGATGCTCTGCAACTGTGGTGAAAGTTTAAAAAAATTCTGTAGTGTGTGATTTTTTAAAAGCGAAAATTTTATTGCGAAATTTCCACACTAAAGATTTTTTAAAAATTGAAATTTATAAAATTTACCGCAAAATAAATTCGTGGTCAAAATTTGAAGATAGGTCACCGATGAAACTAACGAGTAAAATGCAAATAAAGTTAGAAAATAGCCTCGTGTCACTCGAGAAATTCCCCTATTGAAAAGCGTCGCTGACTAGTAAAAGATTGTACGCGGGCGCAGAACGAGTTTTCATTCAGCAAAATCAAAGATTAGATACTATAAAGATGTGTCACTCTGCGAAAATTATGTCCGAGCTTTTTTTATAGCCGCCATTTTGCCAGTAAGTGTCAAATTCGTCAAAATTCGTCATATAGCGCGAGCATCGCGATGGCAACCTATTGTATTCAGTCTCGCCGCCATTTTGGCAGTAAGTGTTATGCACTCGTCATCTCGCGCGATCACTCGTGATCAGCACGGAAAATTACGGACACGCAAACATTAGGGAAATACGTCGAGTGACACATCTTTATAGTATCTAATCTTTGGCAAAATCGAGCGGAAATGTTGTTTTTACTGTTTTGTTTTTGTCAACTTTTCGATTTATTTGAGTGCCATGGACAGCCAAGGATTAATGTGAAGGATCAAATCGATGAAAACAAGGTTGAAGCTAATTAAACCCTGCCGTTTAACTCAATCTATGAGCTGTAACAGCCTATTAACAGGTGGACGTGTTTTTTTGTTTCATGTTTGGTTTTGTACTTTTTGCTAAAAATGAACAATTAGGCTATGAAACTGAAATATTTTTCTGTTTACATATAATCACTTTAATCTTGTAGAAACACGACTAAAAACGTGAACGTTTTCTTGAGAAGTATAAATAACTTTTTAAACGTTTGTATGCAATTTTGCAAATGTTTTACAGTGGACAGTGTATATTTAAAAAAAAATTAAAAAACATTGTTTCGTAGCTATTTTTTGGTCTAGTGATATTCGTATCATATGTAGAATTGCTGTATATCAAAACGAAGTATTATTCAACGCTTTTTTGTTTCCAAAAGTGGTGTGTACTGCTATGATAGAATAAATCC